TTATATTGTTTTGCTTATATTCTAAACTCCTTAGGAGAGTGTAACGGTGTCCCCATTCACGTACCTGGAGGACTGGTAGATGACGCTTTCTATAGTGACAGTATGTATTATTTATAACTATCACAATATATACGATTATCAAAATATCTATATGACACAAAAGGGTTGTGATAAGGCTTACTTTGGTGATTAACACAAGTTGAAATAAACTGTTTGGCGTATATTGTTAAGTAAACAAAGTTTCCAAATAAACATTAATCAATTATAACTTGACATTTTTAAAATATAGGTAAACAATAATGTACTGGGTATACCAGGAAGAAGACTAGAAGTGATTTTGGTCAATCGATAATAAATGTTTGGACTTTAACGTTTAATAGAAATAACTTGGTGCTGTGAAGTCCTAAGGGAAGCAGCGATACAAACTCTCATCAGTTGCTGAGATGAAACAAGGGGCACCTTGGATTTATAAAAATTCGTTTCATTTTTTCAGATACTACTTACTGGCCAGATGGGGACGATGGTAAGAGAAATCAAAACAACACCGAACTGACCGATTCAGATTCCGACCCGTTTCTATGGAAACTTTTTACAACTCCTCCTAGCACTGGACTAGACGGATTAGGAGATGCTTCACAAAGTTCCGGAAGTCGTGGAAGTAAAGCTGGGAATAATCTCACAAGGAATGAACCATCTTGGTGGGATACCGGAAGCGGAAGTGGTCATTCATTCATGAATCGAGACGATTGGAGGAAAAACTATGATATGGGCCAGGATGGTTCAGAAGACTATAATGGACTGTTTCCATTCGATACAAATTTAGATTGGGGAAAGTCTAACATTCAGGGGAGATGCTATGTCCACGAGCAGTGTCCAGATCACTCGTATTGTGGTCCGATGGCATGTGATGGATATGTCTGTCTTTGTAATCCCGGCTATGTACCATCAGATGACCGAACATCATGTCTAGCAGGTTAGTGATATGATATATAAAATCGTATTTTTTTTATTATGACACTTGTGACCACAGGGCTAGCACCGGGTCTTAATCTAGATTTGCAGAACATTAGTAGGGCGGTAACCGGGTGCGTGAATAGTCGCGTTCTACACGCATTGATTAAGCGTACGATTTCATCTTTTTAGCAAAATAAACTCAAACATTGCTAATTTGCAAGATAATGATCTATTACTTCAACAAACACCAGTCAATCTAACAATACATATCTCCTGTATATTTACATATAACAGTTACAACTGATCACGTAATTACCGTAATAGATTCCTTATTTGTTGTTATATAAATAAATTCACCAACTATCACAACTTACCAGAGTGGATAGTATAGCAAATAATAAAAATATTTTATCATAATTCAAATACCACAAATTTCAAAATGTCCTTTGCGGAGATTAAAATTGATTCCGTCACAAATGAGAGCTACAGCTACTATTATCAAGAGATCATTGTGGATAGAGGTCCGCATCAAGTTTCCAGACGTTGGGGGCTTGACTGTTCCTAATGGCTGTCTTGATAAGGTTCTAGCGACTGAAGTCCCTCTCACATTTTAACTGTGGAGACAGGAACCACAAGGAGTCGTTCAGCAGTTGCAGCTACCAAGGGGAAAGTTTCCTCGGATCTAATGGCTTATTGAGCTACATCACCAAATACTCTGAATGCATTGACTGTGGGATCTTATCTGAGCCTTGTCGTAACCCCTAAAAATTCCTGCCTGCATCAATAACGCCCTCAGACACACACACACCAGACAAACACAGACCTGGATTAAACATCTTACTAACAGCTGAAAAAGCAGCAGTATCCCCCTCCCCAACGAACTTATCCCTGAGATTGCTCACTACCTTATCCACAAACGATTCACATGAACTCACATAATCTGACCTCTGAGCACTACTATCCGTAATTGTTTGACCTCTATGGCTAAACGTCAACAAAACTGTATTATCTACTACTGGCTCAGAGGGCACTGCATGGAGAAACTCAACAAGATTCTCACTACACGTCCTGTCCTTGATCTCCTGAAGAATCCGAACTGTCGAATGGAGGAGGGGGTTCACCTGAGTGAAATCAATGATATGTCCTTATAGAAGAGAAAGGTGCATAAGAGGATCTGTCAGAAAATGAGCAACATACAGAAACCTGAAAGTAGTGATGGGTTTGTGCATGGAAAGAACTTTCGCAGAGTTGTCTTCCAGTAAAAACACCAACAAGACCTGGGAAATTATCTACCACTGACTGCATACTACCCCGAATGCTCAACCACTTAGTGTGAAACACAAGCTTAAGCCTAGTGCACCTCATATCCTCTACCACAGACTGAATAGTTTCTAACTTAGCCAATAGAAAAATTAAAACCATGTTCTCATGTGTCGACCACATAAAAACATGGCTTTAATTTTCCTTTTGTGGTAAATAAACAAATGATTTATTTTGTATTTCTTATGTCTTATGACTTGAATTTGATTCACGTGAGAGTTTCACATTTTTTTTCTACAAATTTACAGCTGTTCTAGTCGGAGATGAGTGTAACCCAGCAGATTCAAATTGTTTGTCTCCCTTTGCGGACTGTGATGGAACCTGCTCCTGCTATGATGTGTTTGAAACGTCACAAGATCGCCGATGTCGGACAAAGACAGCCGGTTTCATTAGTGATCCGTGTGGTGGAAATATGGGATGCGAATTTCCAGCTACATGTGTGGAAGGAAAATGTGCTTGTGCTGATCCGTATAGACGACTTACAAGGAGAGAGTTTTGGGCCGATTTGACTCGAACTAGACAATGTCATAAAAAAGACTTTGCACTCTGTAAGTAATACGTTTTCATCAATGATTTTACATCGGGAGAATTTCTGTGAAAGCTTTGTGTTATTAACAAGCTATATAATATACCCATTTGATTTGAAATAATATATAGATTTACATAAAGATATTTGATATCTGAAGAGTTGATCAGCTGTATTTAGGGTAAACTAAATATTAGGCTTGAATCGTTGATCCAACAATCATTACTCACTTTAACGCTGACTTGTAAAATATCTAAATATCCATTTATATTTATCATATGAATTACATAGAAGATATACAAAAACTTGCATACAATACTTCCTTTCAAATATGAATTTTATAACATTTCTGTGCCTATCAATTGTCTCATTTGATATAATCTTGTATCCTGTTAATTCTGTTGGTTAGATCTATGTGATGGAAAGCCTGTTGAAGTCCCGCACGCTCTGAGAAATGTAACCGACCCGTTTGGTGGGATATTGAATGGGTTTGGACCAATATCACATGACTCAACTTTGCCAGTCGGTCCAATTGGTGGAACAGCTGGCTCTGCTGATGGATCCACTGGTTTAATTGATGGATATACCAATTCAACAGATGGAACAGCCAACAGCCTGGGAAGTAAGGGAACTTTAGAAAACGGTGTAGTGACTCCTGAGGGTGACACAAGCAGATCTCCCAACCGCGCACTGGGATCAAATGTTGAAACAGATACTTTAGGCACAAAGTCAGGTGGTGTAGATGGTGATAGTTCTAAAGGTGAAAGAAGTTATAAAACGGAAGGATCAAATGGAAGTTTTTATGGAACAAATGATGGTGCTGGAAGGACTCGTACAAAAGCTGGGATGGTTAGATCTGATGGCGGGAATAGGGAACCAAACACAGACATTGATGACATAGGCATTAGAGGGAACGGACGTGGAACAAGCAAGTCTGGCGATCTACATGGAGGCCCAGAGAATAGCAGGTTTCAAGGTAAATATTCAGTGTTTAATTTTGTATTCCCCTCTGCAGAGATAAAAAGTATTAGGGTACTTAAAATGTTAAACAATTGATTAAATTTTATAACCTTTTGTCTTTCATTTGGATATATTGATACCAAATATCATTAAAAAGTGTTTGAAGGATGCAAGTTGATGCAGATTATTTCGGAGTAATGATCTTAATGGGAGATACTTTCTTGTTCGATCTGAAATATTCCTGGTGGAATTGTTGTTTTAGCGCATTCTAATTTGGAAAGGTAAAGTAACTTACTTGGGTTGACAAACATTTACATGTCAGGTATCTCGTTGATGAAGTAGACGTTGTTTTCTCTTCCAGAACACCTGGTCTTATTCTGAATTCATTTGTTTAGAGATCAAAGTGTATCGATTTTTTCTGTCACTATTTCGCCCGAGATTATTAAATTTGAGTTCGAGTTAAACTCTACTGGCATATGTTCTGATTAACTTTAACAGTTATTTTCACTCTGCTAACAGTTTAATGTTATGATGGAAATGTCATCCTCTTATGTTAATATATAATATGTATATATACGGTAATTGTGTTAACGAAAAGAAAATCTCTTTCGACCAATTTGGATCAGTTTGTCCCCTCCTACATTATAACAATTTAGGCGGCCGTAAACTCGACTGATTGGAGCTGGAGGATAGAAAACCCTGCATGATACAGTTTAATGTATTAAAATCTACTTAAGCGTACGATTGCATCTTTTTAGCAATATAAACTCAAACATGGCTAATTTGCAAGATAATGATCTATTACTTCAACAAACACCAGTCAATCTAACAACTTAATTCTGAATGTCATTGAAAAGTGCCATTTACCTCCAAGTTCTTTTAACAATCTTTTTTGTTTTGTTTTTGTTTTTGTTTGCTTTTTTTAAGTTCACAGTTTCAATATTGTCTGCATATATGTAAATACAATATATATGTCCTGTTCACAAAGTAACTGTTAGTATGCATAATGTGAAAAAGCGAAAAAAATTAATCTTTTAGCCAATTAGACGAAGTTTGTAAATAAACAATAATTATTTTGATGTTTATTATAGATACTGGTGGACTTTATTACTACATTCCTCAGGGCGGATTTTTCCTAAGGAAACTTCTAATTACTTCTAACAGGACTCAAAAAATTACTTTATCGGATCTACAAAAAGATGTCCTGGATTTCACGGCTATCCATGCCTCTATATACAGTATGCCATACAACTCCAGCGACTCGCACAGGAGCATAGATCCGGATGCTGTACATCAGAATGGGTCTGGTTTAAATGACACTACTAATAGATTGCAACCGTCATACACTTCACCTTCGCATATTAGCGTGACAGGAGTTTATCACACTAGTCAAACTAAAACACTTGATAGTGATCAAGTCCAAGGCGTGATATCTTCTACATTATCGGATGTTGTGAAACATAACACAGATGGGAGTATTTTCACCAATGGAATGGTGTCAACCTCACTTGATTATCCAAGTTCACAGAAGGAAGCCAATCACAACGGGAAGGATATGCTCAACCAAAATAAGGACGATTTTGGTAGGACATTTCGATTATATCTTTCATTGTTAACACGAGAACACTCTTGAGGAAGTATTCTTTCAAAATCTTTATAATCAGATATATTGGAGTAGAAACGGTACGTAACGTTTCTGTTTAGTTTAAACATATTTTATTTGACCAAAAATCAAACGGAATTGGACACAAGTTAAACAACTTAGGAACGTCCTCTTCCATACATAACATATTTATAATTATCAATATATTTCTATATCTACATTCTTTAGTGTAAAGTTTATCTATATATATCTGTATTCAATTTCACAGGTATAATGGTTTTCAATATATTTCTAAATTTATTTTCTGTGATGTTGAGGTGAGATATGACCTATTTTTTTCCAATGCATTCTAAAAAGTTGACGAGTTCAAAGGAAATATTCTATTGCACAAGTCTACTAGAAAGTAAAAACAATAATTGACAGTAAATATTAGCATACATTACACTTTGTATCAAGTTCAAAGTTCATCTGTTTGGTTCATAGATATAGATTCAGATGTAAATCAGACGAACATTGAGAAGCCAGGTCAGAACCCGGATGTTGAAGAGGCTGACATGTCAGGTAAGATACAAGCATTGTGAAGATCATGTATACCGGCATAAAAACAGTGTTGGTATTCAGAGAGCCCGGATGTTGTACCACGTGTACCGTATTTTGGAATCCTTGATACATAACACGTTTCTTAACCCAAATTAATAAAGAAATGTTTAAACAAATAAAGATATTATTATTATTATTTGTCTTTATAGCCCGTCAACAGAAATAAGATCATTAGAGCCATCAATGTAATAACTGGTAAAACCTGCAAACGCGAAGCGAATCTTGTTATATCTAAATTGCGCATTTTATTGAATTTTTAGGATAAGTGTTCCTTTGTACCTCCCCCGTATAGTTTCTGATATTTCTCTCCACTACTTAATATGGTTTTCTAGATCACCTCCTTCAGTTAAGGAATGATGCATCACTAGGTCAACTGCTTCAGTTAAGGAATGATGCATCACTCGGTCAACTGCTTCAGTTAAGGAATGATGCATCACTAGGTCACCTCCTTCAGTTAAGGAATGATGCATCACTCGGTCAACTGCTTCAATTAAGGAATGATGCATCACTCGGTCAACTGCTTCAGTTAAGGAATGATACATCACTAGGTCACCTCCTTCAGTTAAGGAATGATGCATCACTAGGTCAACTGCTTCAGTTAAGGAATGATGTATCACTAGGTCAACTGCTTCAGTTAAGAAATGATGCATCACTAGGTCAACTGCTTCAGTTAAGGAATGATGCATCACTTAGTCATCTCCTTCAGTTAAGGAATGATGCATCACTAGATCACCTCCTTCAATTAAGGAATGATTCATCACTAGGTCACCTGCTTCAGTTAAGGAATGATGTATCACTTGGTCACCTCCTTCAGTTAAGGAATGATGCATCACTAGGTCACCTCCTTCAGTTAAGGAATGATGCATCACTCGGTCAACTGCTTCAGTTAAGGAATGATGCATCACTAAGTCAACTGCTTCAGTTAAGGAATGATGCATCGCTAGGTCACCTTCAGTTAAGGAATGATGCATCACTAGGTCACCTTCAGTTAAGGAATGATGCATCACTAGGTCACCTCCTTCAATTAAGGAATGATGCATCACTCGGTCAACTGCTTCAGTTAAGGAATAATGCATCACTAAGACAACTGCTTCAGTTAAGGAATGATGCATCGCTAGGTCACCTCCTTCAGTTAAGGAATGATGCATCACTAGGTCACCTCCTTAAGTTAAGGAATGATGGATCACTAGGTCATTGATTTATCGATTTCCTTTATTATTGCATTTTCTTTGTTTATAACTGATTTTTTTTTCTCCAGAGACCGTCCTAATGTCATCGTCAATCGCTGCAGTATTTCTACTGAATATGGTTTGCATCGTACTGCTCATTACTAATAGGAGACGAAGAAAGTAAGTGTCAACATCATTCATTTAATGTGTTTCTTTCGTAAGGAAAAGTTTTAGTGTCAGTAAAAGTTCTTAGATATTTACCGAAGTTTATTTGTTTATAATATATAAATTCATTCTCCAGTGATAGCAAAACAACAACAGAAACCTCCAAAGAATCTTTTGATGAAACCTTATATGGAATGTAAACTCACCAAAGATTCTACATACATCGAATCCAAAAACAAATGTTTAGTATTTAAGTTCCCCTCGGTCTCCAGTTAAGCCAAACTAATTTCGAGACTGATCAGAAAAAAATTACAAAAAGGCGGCCATCTTGGAATTTGACTTTGAAAGTTTGTTAAAGCTATTTCATTATGGATTACATTATGGATCTGTCTTCAATTTCATATTTAGGTTCCTTTTGGCCCTAGTTGTTCTCCGTTCGGTTCTGGGTGTGATCATAAAAATAAAATGGCTGACCGAAGGCAATTTTGGAATTTGACTTTGCAAGTGTGTTATTTCTTGAAAACTTCTGTCGATAAGCTGCCATTTTGGATTTTTCATTGAAGTTCGTTATCGCTGTTTCTTCAGAAGTACTAGATGGATCTTTCTTAAATTTCATATTGGTCCCTAGGTGTGTCAGTATTATCTTCGGTCTGATCAGAAAAACAAAATAGCCAAAAAAAGCGGTCATCTTGGATTTAGACTTTGGAAATTTGTTATCGCTATTTCTTGTGAAGAACTTGATAGACCTTCTCGAATTTCGTATGCAGTTTCCCCTTTGTCCCTGGTTGTGCCCGTTTGATTGTTGTATTGATTAGAAAAAAATAAATGGCCAAAAAGTGGCCATCTTGGATTTTGACTTCGAAAGTTTGTAATATCACTATTTTTTAAGAAGTAGTTTATAGATCTTTCTCAAATTTCATATATCGGTGCCTCTTGGTCCCTAGTTGTGCATGTTTGATTTTGGGACTAATGAGAAAAACAATATGGCCGACAGGCAGCCAAGTTGTATTTCGCTTAGTAAAGATTGTTATTCCTGTTTCCTAAGAAGTACAGAATGGATATCTCTCAAATAGTATACGTATGTTCCATTTGGTTTTCCATTTGGACTGATCAGAAAAAGACAGAATGGCTTCCAGGCAGGTAGAGATTAGCATTGTAATTCTGTCAAGGAACGTTCAAATGTCTTATCAATAAGAGCAAAAAAAAAAGAAGAGAAAAGAAGGGAAAAGATCAAACTCTCAAAGATCAAGTAAAGATCAAACAATAGTGGGCGCCAAGATCCCTCTGGGATCTATAAACAACTCGGTATTAAAAAATAAAGAAAAAGTGCATTATAATTTATGTATTTTATCAATAAGATAACATCGTTTGATACATTGATCATCACAATGGTAGTAATGTAAATATTTTTTGGGTTTTTTTTGTTTTTGTTTTTTTTTCATTTTTCAGGCGGAAAAGAGAAGAGAAAGCTCGACAGGAAGCTAATGAACGGTCCACTGTATCGGAGTATGAGGTCTACCAATTAGCATGTCCATACGTCACACTGCCGTCAGCGCCATATATAACTATTACATCTGGTCCTTATGTGTGCACATCCACAATATCTGAACTGGAATCGGACAAATCAAAAACCGAAAACATGACGTCATCAAGTGGTGCAGAGTCTGGGTATTCCACTCTCCCGGATACAAGCACGGAAAGCGTGATAGATTCTCAAGGCAGTGTGTATGACGATTGTCTGCATATTCCGCGGCCTCATGTAAAGAAAGATATTAATAAAATATTGGATGACGCTGAAGTGACGTCATCCGTAGCGACGACGTTTCCAGCAAAGTCACGAAAAAGGAGTAGTACAATGACGTATACTTCAGCTAAAGACAGTGACATAAAATATTGGTTCTGTGAAATACCAAGACCTATAGTGTCGTTTTCTAAACTAAAACTGAAAAATAACGTCACTTGGGGTACATGGCCGAAATTGGAGTCCAACCCCTATGTTGATTCAGAAGCTTCCACCACTGGTAACCATACCTACGAGGAAATTCTGCCTAGCATCCAAAGTGATACATCAGTATGATGACGACACCTAGCCGATAATGCAGGTTAACCTATCGATTCATTGTCGTGTTAAACACATTGTTCTTAGTTCCGAATTTGTCTTTCTTTATTTACCTTGCTCCAAAGTAGAGACTGTCAGAGTTCTGTCAGTAGTATGTTATAGAGTGGGTTTATGTTTGACATGAAGCTGAAAAATTACATTGTACCATAATTGTGGCCTTCAGCAAGACATTTAACCCTGATTGCTTTCGCTGGCAGGCGACAGACAGACAGTTGTCATCAGATACCTTTAAAGATACACTGATTCACAATTATTCCGTCTGTTGACGGAGCAACAATATAGCATATACATTTCAACAGTCTAATTATCAGGATATTTTGCAACAATATCAGTCAATAGTGTATTGGTGTCGTTATATCAGAATTTCAATTCAAGGACATAGGAGTGCCTTGTTAAGGGCGAGTTAGAAACTCAAATGATTGATAAGGTGACACGATTTGTGTATACGCCCACGCGGTCTAGATAACTAAAGTTAGTTGGAGTAACTAGCACACTAACACAGATAAAAACGTTCTCGAATATTGCAATAATCTTTTAAAGTTTTGAAGTAACTTTGAAGTATATTTTCGAATTTTGTTAAATTATTTCATTCTAATCTTATTGCAGGTATATGACATTTTTACCATTGTAAAACAGAAATTTATCAATTTGATAACTTATATCAGAGACATATATGACATATATATGTCTCTGCTTATATCACTGATGTGACTATATAAAAATATTTATATAACTGTTTAAGCAAGGATATGTTGTGTAGTGTGGACCAATCAGAAAGGTGTTTGTCTAGTCCCTACTTTGAAATTTGCAAATTTTCTTAATCGAAGTAATTAAGCAAGTTGTGTTTTGTGAAAACTTTTACATGTACATTCAAATTTTCTTTAAAATGATATTTAAAAGTTGTCGGTAGTCGATTTTACCAAGTAAGTAACCAATTGTACCAAGTAAGTAATCAATTTTACTAAATAATGCCATTGAACGATAGACTACAAAGCCTTTGTCAGATTTGATGACGTCGTAACATTGCTACCATGGTGGATTTAGAGGTTGATGTGAATTCTATGGAGCGAACCTGGATTATGTTTATATGTTCATGATACAGATAGTTCAGGTGTAAAGAGTTATGTACTATTGATCGTATGAAATCGTAAGTTTTTGTTTGTTTTGTTTTTTGTTGTTTTTTGTATATTTAGATATGTCTTTGCATTGAAGAAGGAATTTTGTTATAAAGGAGAGAGTTTTTTCAGGAATCCGACAAAAACAGATTTTTTTTGTTCGCTTCATGAACTAATGAATAATACAATTTATAAAATTGAAGCAAAGAGACTTTTATGCTATGCCGTATGCTTTCTGTTATGTCCTTATTTTCTTTGTTTGTTTGGTTTTTTCTCACATTGGATGTGTTGACTGTCTAAAAGTAATAGGTGTAAAGGGCGATAACTCCATAGACAACTTTTCTTGTAATGGAATATATATATATTGTAATGACTGGTAAATTATGTAAAGCTTTTGAATTTTTGTGACGTGATATTTTCATTGTCATGTGTGCGTTTGATGTGTGTGACAGTGACTGCCTCGCTGTAAAGTATGTAATATTGTCATTTGTGTGTTTGATGTGTATGACAGTGACTGCCTCGTTGTAAAGTATGTAATATTGCCATTGTCATGTGTGCGTTTGATGTGTATAACAGTAACTGTCACGCTGTAAATTATTTCAAAGGTGCTTTGGAGTGGAAAAGATTTCGTAGACTTTGTTGAAAATATTCCGAGTGATATAATACCGTCCATTTTGTCTGTCATATAACATGTTCAGTTTGATTACGTCTGTCATGAAATGTCAAGTAATAGTCACAACATGTACATATTGTATCTTTATTTTTCTATGAAATTATTGTGTTTCCATTCCACAATCACCCACTGAAGATCATGTCACAGTGCTTTGATAAATTCATCAGAAGAGAATGGCGTTCACGACACGTGAATTCCGCGTGTTTGTTTTTAATTAAGAAATTCATCTCCAAACAAATGTATACATATATATTTAGCTTTTCTACCATAAAATATTGTGGAGAATTTCTGTGTGCAATTATACATTGGACCTGGTAGGGTTGCTACCAGTTCCTAACTAATAAGCGACACAGCGAGGTTTACTCACGTTTTGGAGACACCTCTGTTTTGGTTAGGAGATGGAAGTCAAGAGCACGCCATTGTGTCACGGCAGTTCAAACCAAGGGATATAACTCCCATGGTTTTCTCTAAACTGACTTCATGTGAAAACTTTAAGCAAGCGATATGATTGCACCTGCTGTTGATCAATTTATAACTCCTCACGTTACCACGATCAATGGTGCGGAAATACATAGATAAGATTTGCTTTTTTTGTAATAAAAAATTGATTTTTGGTATAAAGTTGTGTTTTGTTCTTTGATATCAATATAATTTCGATATTGATCGGGCAGATCGATAGATTTGAAATCTACAAGTTGCAACGACGACGTTTTATATATGACAGTCTATAAATTCCTTTCTGTTATTCATTTTTAAAAGAATTTTCATTATTAGATAAAGCACTGCAGTTATTATCTCCAACGACAACCTTATTAAGAACAACCGAAAAAAACCCATAAATTCTAACATATTGTATACATGGAAAGTTTAAGTGTACTTTCTCTTTAGGATGTTTTGTCCTTTTTACAAACGGGAAGTAAACACAAGCTAAAGATTGAACTGAAATAATCATTGTGTATTTAAATGCAGATAAAAATAAAAATTGTGAGACTGAAAACAAAATTTGGATATAGGTTTAAAGTACACGGTATGTGTTTGTATTATATGTCGTGTGCTGTTTTCACTCATTTTTTATCTTAAATGATATCGCTTTCTATACAAGTTTCTTTCCACAAAAGTTTTATATAAGGCGTACACATAAAGGGGTTGGATTTTACTTTTATGTTAACCATACTTTTATGAAGCAATGTCTCCAAGAACTAAACGCGTTCCATAAAATATATTCTTAGAGACGTTGCTCCGACATAAAAATATGGTTAACATAAAACATAAAATCCCTATATTTATACGTCAGTGTCTTCTCAACAAAATGAACTATTAAACAATCCTTGTTAGTGCGTGACATAATGATTCCAACAAATTAAGAATTTTTTACTATGGCGATAAAAGTCCTTTTTATACGCCCGTCTTATGACGGGACGTATCATGGTATGACTTTGTCCGTCCGTCCGTACGTCCTTGTCCGGGCCATAACTTTGTGAGTCCTTGGTCTATTATCATCATATGTTGTACACATATATATCTCAAGGTGACGGAGTGTCACGTATAAAAATTGCCAGCCTCGCATGCATAGTTTCTGAGTTATTCCCCTTAGTTGATTTTTCGTAAACTTTCCTTGTTAGTATATAGTGTATGTAAATCATAAGTTTACATACTATATTAGCAAATGGTGGTATGACATGGCTAAAACTTCCCCAAATGATATTCAGATTATTTCCAAGACAACTTAGCTATTCAATCAAATACTGCTTCTCCATCGAAGACGCGACGGGCGTATATCGTGTCTCAATTACGCCCTTGTTTAAGTGTGATACATAATACATAACCAGAAAGATCTGGGATAACCAGACTGAGTGAAAATAAAAATTTATGACTTATTTCATAAATTAAATAAACAGAATGTAACTTCATGTTCAAGCGTTTGGCAAAAGTAGTTCCTGTAACATCTTCATGCGCAAGTTCAAAGATCAATGTTTCCAGTTTCATCAGGTAATGCTTCTGTCCTAAAATATGAAAAAATAACAATAAAGATTAAATTTTATTTGTTTCAGTAATTCGTACGATAGTTTACCAATAAAATCGGCAATATTTATCGCTCAGAGTCCAACAGTGATTATATATAGTTTAAATATATTTGATTTGAAGTGGTACTTTCTTGTCGAGAACAGTTTCTAAAAACAGTTTAACGGAAAACGTTTGAAGATGAAATATACTCATAGAAGAGTGTGTTAATTTGAGAAACAATATAGTGCAATGTTAATCTTATATTATAAACGTTAATATTTTGGCTAATCGAATTTCATTTAAAGTTTAATAAATTCACGCAATGACGAGTTTGCTTATCTGCAATCGTTTTTATCAAATGACATTAAACTTATCATTTGCACAGTAACAGTATATTGTAACATTCAGCAAATACGTCAAGCACGATATTCATAATCAAACTGACATGGCAACATTTATTGAAAATATTTCATTACGAAGATGAACACAATTAACGCATAAAATTGATAAAACAATATTGTTCCTGAATCAGTACATCTGTCGCCACGTTCGATCACCGTCATGTCGCCCTTTGATAAACATATATGGTAAAACAGCTGATGCTGTAACTTAGGACAAGCGGTCGAGTAGGGTGTTTGGGATTGAAGACAACAAACAGAACGGTTTTACATGAAACTGTTTACAACATATTTATACAGATACATATAAATTTCACACTAAGACACATTCTCACTCTCTCCAACCCGAAAGTTCAAAGTTCAAAGTTCATGATCCACACGACACGGCAGTCACAAGTTTCCCAAGCGACACGTTCCGCAAGAATGTCCGGTACAGCAATATCAACAGAAATACTTCCCCGCAGAAACAGTATAGAACAATGGCTGCTAGCGCAAATAATCTAGCTCAGTTCCGCAGTGGCTGGTTATCTCACCAGTAAGTCTCCAACACCAGACGTCGACCACATGTAGGCGTAGTGTTACCGCCCGCTTCCCTTGTCACGCTGGCGCGCCTATTACACTGACGGAACTTTCTGAGGCTGACTCTATCTTGGACAAGTCCTGATGCCAAAGCCATCGTGTAGAAGAGTCCTATTGGCTCAGGGGCTAAATCCCGTCATGGAGAGCTTAAACAAACACACACAACGTACACGACAATTTCCCACCGTG